AAAAATAATCAATTAACAAAAACACAAATTAAACATAAATTCAAGAGATATCAGTTATTAAAAACAAAATTTATAATTTAACAACATTCTATCATTTCAACAATTAAATATAAATGTTATTTTCGGATTTTAATAAAAAATACAGAATAATTAAAAATTTTTGAAATAAAAAGAAAAAAATTCAAAAAACTCACTTATAGGGTAGATTAGAAACCAAAATACTTGCAAATGTTTAAATCAAGCCCAGATCAACCGATAAACACAGGAGATTTGCAAAAAAAAAAATTATGGTTAGACTGTCGAAAAAAAAAAAAAAAACACCAGCAAGATCGCCAGCCAAAAACCGGCTGAAAAGAGTTATTTACCTCGGCGGTTGGCCAGAGATTGGAGGAGGAAAAGCTTGCAGCGGAGAGGAAGAAAAAAGAAAGAAAAAACAGAGAAAAATTGTGGAGAAATCATAGAATTGGGGAGGGGGGGACGGGCGACACGCGAGGAAGAAGGTTGCATGCAGCCTTACTCAGACCGATCCCGATCCCAAAACAACTGTGTGTGGGCCCTAGCGTCCAATCAATTCAGAGATTCCTGACGTAACGTTTCAGATCATTATCGGTCCGGATATGTATATACGGACCGATCTCGGTCCGTATAATAAATTAATATATATGGTTTTCAACATAATATATACGGACCGATTTCGGTCTGTATATTTTCATTAAAAATAATAATTCATTCTTAATTTTTGTTATTTAATATTTATTTTTTATGAAAAATAATAAATATACAGACCGAATTCGGTCCGAATATAAAAATGAAATTCCATATTTTCTGATTGATATAAACAGACCGACGTCGGTCCGTATATATTTATTTAAATAATATTTTATTCATATTTTTTGTTATTTAATATTTATTTTTTTCAGAAATAATATTCAGATCGTTTTCGGTCTGAATATTATTGGCGCTTTTATACTGTGGTTTCCCGCTAGTAATATACGGACTAATACCGGTCCGAATATGTTGATTAGTATATTTTGTGCCACTTGAATATATTCGGACCAATATTGGTCCGTATATTTATTTTTTCGGACCGACACTGTTCGGTCTGTATATGTTCGGTCCGTATACGTCATTTTTCTAGTAGTGTATTTAATGATTTTAATTGTATATTTAATAAATAAAAAATTCTAATATGTGCTTTTATGGTATAGGTAAAATTTTATTAAATATAATATCTTTAAATAATTTTATATAAATTTTTATATCATATTTAATTAAAAAAATAAAAATGTAAAATTGAAATATAATATAATATTTATAATCAAAATTTGTAAAAATATAAAAATTTGATATAAGAATTTGTGCAAAATTAATTAAAGATTTAACATTCAATGAGGCTTAACTTATGTTCTTAGGGGACAAGTTAAACAAATCCTTAATAAATTAAAATTAATCTTTATTTTGTTGTAAAAATTAATTATTAATAGGCACATTAAATATAAAAAAGCATGTTAGAAAAATATTTTAATAAAATAAAATTTATAAATTAGTTAATTTAAAAAATAAAATAACAAAATTATAAAGTAAATACTTGTAAACTTAAATTATAAATCATATTATTAAATTAAATTAAGCTTTTATTTCTAAGATTTTAAATTGTTTATATAATAAAATTATAAATAATAATGATAATGATTTACTTTTATTAAATATGGTATATATATTTGTATTTTTTACAATATTTTTTTAAATTTAAATTTTTTGTCAAATGTAATAATTAACTAAGATGAAATTTCAATTTACATTAATTAAAATTCTAATTTTAATTTACAATAATCAATATTATAATTGAAATTTTATTATTTCTAAAAAAATTTAATTTATTATTAAATATTAATATTTTTAATAAATAAATCCTTCT